TTGAATTAAATGTGTTTGTTGTATATAGCATATTGTTGGATCTTGCTTTTTGGTCCATTCTGCAAGTCTGTTTCTTTTGATTGGTGAATTGAGACCATTAACGTTGATGGTTATAATTGATAATATGTATTGAGTTATCTTTGTTGAGATATTTTCTTGTTGTTGGTTCCTTTTTTTTTCCCCTCTGCTTGCCTTGCCTTGTGGATTCATTCTGTTGGGGTTCATGCAGTTATTGTCTTCGTTATTGCTTTCTATAATGTCCTTCAGAATATTTTGAAGTGCTGGCTTGGTGATCCTGAATTTCTTCACATATTCTTTGTCATGAAAATATCTTATTTCTCTATCAGTTTTGAAAGATACTTTTGTGGAGGGTATATCAATTTGGGTTGGAGGTTTTCTTTTAGGGTTTGAAATACTTCATTTTCTTCTTGTGTAAGGGTGGGTGTGTTGAGAAGTCTGCTGTGCTTTTTGTTGTTGTTGTTGTTTTGGTTTTTTGAGACAGGGTCTCACTGTGTAGTTGAGACTGACCTGGAACTCACTGTGTAGCCCAGGCTGGCCTCGAACTCACAGCAATCCTCCTGTCTCAGCCTCCCGAGTGCTGGGATTACAGGCTTTTGCCACCATGCTTGGCTAGTCTACTGTGATTTTGATGGGCTTTCCTTTAGAAGTGATTTGTTTCGTTGTCCTAACAGCTTTTGCTGCTGTTGTTTTGGTACTGCAGATTGAACTTGGGACCTTGGACTTGCAAAGCAGGTTGTGGAACCACTGAGCTAAATCCCTGGCCCCTAACAGCTTTTAATATTCTGTTCTTGTGTTGAATTTCTGGAAACCTGACTGTTATATGCCTTGGTGTTGATTTTTTTTAATCATGGCTAATTGCAGTTCTTTATGCCTCCCTTATCTGTCAAATTCTTTTTCCCTGATTGGGAAGTTTTTTGTCATTACTTCTGTGGACAGGTTTTTATCATTTTCTCTATCTCTTGCTTTATCATTGACTCTGATCAATCTTTTTTTTTTAAATTGAGTTTATTGGTACATTTTATGTATACAGTACAGTTACATTCATTGTTGGGAAATTGTACCTCTACATGACAGGTCTTGGTTCTCAATTTATTGGTATTTTATGTATACAGTACAGTTACATTCATTGTTGGGAAATTGTACCTCTACATGACAGGTCTTGGTTCTCATTTTTTCCTTAAACTTTTGACTGTGATCAATCTAATGTTATCCTTCTCAGTGGCTCTGTACCTACCTTGCAATCATAGGTCATGAGTTCAATTCCCAGTACTAGGAAAAATTAAATAAAAATAAAAACAAGAGCAAACAATCGAGAAAAAAACAAAACAAAAGTTAAATAAGAAAATAAAACAATGTCCACTTCAGGGCATGTTTCTGCTGTTAGTGGTAGAAAGAGTGGGCTCAGATTCATGTTGATTAATCTCAGCAAGCCAGCCATAGATTTAAGGCAGGGTAGTGGTTAATCCTAGCAAGCTTGTACCTTTAGTTCCACAGAAATTCAGGCTGGTTTCTGCCTATGAGGCTGGAACCCTGTTTGTTCAGCCTGCAACACTCTTTGTGCCTCCTGCTGGCTTGAACGTGGTTCCTTGACTTCCTGTGGACTTGAACTTGATTCTTTCTCACCCTGACCCTTGGAGCCACTGGGAAGAGCCACCCTGCAGGTGCTTTGTCCCATAATCAGTTGGTCTCTCTCCAAGATGACTACTAGCCAGTCACCCTCCTTAGGGACATCTGAACCCTAATAACTCAGCAGCCACTGCAGTCTACTGTGTCCACTGCTCTGTAGCACTGGTGTGTCTCTCCGTGGAGCCCTCAGAGGTCACCAGTAGTCACTGTGGATCTGCATTTTCACACTGCCCTCCCATGCAGAGAGTCAGGGCTCAGGAAGAAAGTGCTGCTTGCCACCTACTCCACCTTCTGTGTTGAGATCTCTTTCATCTCTATTCCCCATGAGCATCCGTTCTTGCTTCAGATCCCTTTTTGGGTCCCAGGGACTCACTTCCCTCCTTCTCTTCCTCACATTGCTGAATTCCAGTGTCTGTTTCTCTGCTGTTTATCACTCCACCATCTTCCTGGAACTCCTAAAAATTATCTCAAAAAATGTTTTTTAATCTCAAAAAATTTCAAGCAATCATATTCTCACTTTTTCAGCATTCTGACTGAATCAAGTGATTGGGGCACCAGTATGCTTTCAGCATGCATATGTTTGAAAATAGCACCCAAAAGAGGGCAGCATTAATTTCTGGTGCACATCTTTTTCGGGGAAAGAGGGAGATTGTGACACAGTCTCGTTATATAGCGCAGCCTGGCTTTCAGTTCACTTATGTTGTCCCGGCTGGCCTTGAACTCCTAGTGATCCTACTGCCTCAGTCTCCCCAGTGCTAAGCTAACAGGCGTGTGCCACTATTCTGGGCTGGTGGACAGACATCTCTTTTGCTCTGTTTTCATTGTTGGATAATATATGTGATGTCAAAACAGAAATCATAGCATAGATAATTAAATGGAGTAATGAATTATATAACACTTATTTCAGAAAACAAGAGAATTGTTTGTGTTTACCCACTGATCTTATTTGAGGAACAGATACCTTACAAAAATAGTTTTTGTTTTTAAGATTAGATAAATTCCTTGGCCTTTCATCTAACTTTGACTCACTTTCATCTAACTTTCATCTAACTTTCATCTAGCTTGAGTTGTTTCGAAAGGACCTACTCCCTGTTGGGACAAATTCACACTTACACTGGTCTTCATTTCTTTTTGTTTGCTTGTTTCTTTGCTTTACTACTAGTATTTTGTTGTTGTTTTGTTCTATTTTTAATAATTGCTGCAAATGCATGGTTAGTGATGTAGTCGTTTTTGAAATAGCATCTTAGAAAAGATCAGTGAACAACAATGAATGTAACCATAAATTCATTGACAGTAACTATGGTTGCTTCAAAAAATGCACTGTCTCAGAATTCTGGAGATCATTTGGGCTTCTATGATTGTTTCTTTGTGGGCCTCATGGCTTTTCAGAGACTTGCAGGTAAACAGCCAAGAAACCTCTGTGGGGCACTGACACATATGCAGAGGCTTTGAGGGGACCATGGCTCAACTGTCAGGAACATAATGCAGGGCTGGATTCTCAGAATATGGGAAGGTGGCTCCATATGCAGCTGGTCACTTTCCAGATTTCTAGCACAGCTCACTGGCACTCTTGAGCCACAAGAAACCCAACCTGACCAGCTTTGCAGAGAACACAGATATGAAAACAGCACTATTCCTCTCCCTAGACCTGCTTCAAGCAAACTTCCCCTTGTCAGAGGAACCGGACGTGTTCTATAACTCATCAGTGGTCTAACCCCCTTCTCTCTCACTGAGCCCCCTACCCAGAGCCTCTGTCCCACTGTACTGTCTCCCTTCTGAAACAATCCTACTAACGTGGCTAGTGCTGCTGGTAGGAGCCACTTTTGCCCTGACTTCACCAACGAAGCAGTTTTCTCTGTTTATTTTCAGCCTGTTATTGAGCTGCTATTTCCAGTGAAGGGAAGATGAACCTCTCCCAGTTCCAGCAGGCAGTGGTTTAGGATGGAGGGAGCTCAAGTTTCTGTTTTTCCCCTTCTGAGTAGAGCTATACTTTGTGTGCATGTTCCATAAGTAGGTATTTGTTTCATTTTTTAAATATAATTGATTTCTTTATTACCAGAGTGATTTACATTTTGAAAGCTTCTTATTGAACAGTGTATAATTACACAGTTTATAGTTGATTTGGATATGATACATACATGGGTCATTTAAAAAGAAGAGCTAAGATTAGACCCTTAAGCATGCACTGCTGCTGTGAGGAAATCCAGCTGGCCCCATAGTCCCTCCTCCTCCAGGCACATATTCTGCTGTGACTGTGAGAACCGTCTGTTCTGTCTGGGCTTCTCTTCTTGCTGTTGGAAGAAGACGGCAGGCCCCCTTGCTGGTTTATCTGCAAAGGAAACTGCCGACCCCAGATATAGATTCTTGACTGTGCATGGGATGGGGCGGTAGGAAGAACTGGGGAAGGAAATGAGAAATCAGCAATTTGAAATTATTGAAAGCGTGACTAACGTTGCCTCCCATAACTACAGACCTGTAACTTTCTGTTTTGATGCCGCGTGTTCCTCCTCATCTTCAGGAAGACACTTATGAAGCTGGCTGTCTGGCTAAATAGAAAAGGGCTATTTACCACCCTTCAGGAGATTCCCCCAGGAAGTGGGCTGATACAGAGGTGGGAGGCAGTGGACAAAGAGAGTGATTCTAGGACACATTCTTTCCAGCTTTATTGAAAGCCAGTTTCTGCAGATTTCTATTTCTCTCTGGTGAAAAGATAGTCTTCCGCGTAAAGACACCAGCTTGAATGCTAAGTTGGTTCTGAGTACTGCCCTGGGCCATTGCTTCTTCCTGCAGATAGAGATCTCAATGCACTGGAAGAAGCAGTTTGGTGTCAATGTACTGGTGCTAATCATAAGTAGGTATTTGTGAACAGAGGAGCAGCCCAAATGTTTACCAGCGGAGTGGCGGTGCAGGGTGATGGGTACCCAGTCCCAGCAAGCATTAGCCCAGAGGTCCCAAGTCTCTCTCCATCTAGATCCAGACACTCCTCTTTCCACCTGCATGTGCTTCCCTGGGCAGAAGCACCACTTTCTATGAAAATGTTTCTTTTTCCCTTGATCTAATGTGCTGTTCCCTCTGAAAAGAGTTGGTTAAATGAATCATTGCTTGGTGGGTTTGTCCTCTTGGTTTGTTTCTTTGTTTCTTTGTACCAGGGATCGAACTCAGGACCTTGCACTTGTGAGGCCGATGCGGTGCCACTGACTTAAGTTCCCAGCCCTGAGGGGGAGTGTTTGTATGTTTGCTGTGTGTATGTTCTGTGTGATGTCGGTATGCCTGAAGAGTTGGGAATTTGCTTCAGAGAGTCAGAGTGGTGTGCCTCACTGACACATTGTCTTATCATTTCCTATTAAATGTAGTCACAGGTTCAGAAGACCAAAGACCTGCTCAATAATGTGGCCTCTGATGAAGCTAATTTAGAAGCCAAAATTGAAAAGCGAAAGTTAGAACTGGAAAGAAGTCGGAAGCGGCTCCAGACTCTGCAGAGCGTCAGGTAGATTGGAATACTTGGAAAAACAAAAGAGGGGGTGGAAAGTTACCTTTGAAAGTTAGGACAAAGACTGAGCGGATCTAAGTGTGTGTCTTCATCGCTTTCTCGTTGCTAAGACACAATATCTGACGCCCACAATTTAAGGGAGGAGAGGTTTATTTCAGCTCACATTTCAGTCCATTGTTGGCTAGTTCCACGACAGAACAGCATGGCAGAAGGGCATGCAGAGGAAAAGCTGCTCATCTCATGATGGCCAGGAAACAGAGTAAAGGAAGAGATGTCCCTTTGACCCAGCTCTTCTGACCGGGCCCCACCTCCTAAGGGCACATTTAGCTATGGACTCATCAGCAGACTAAGCCACTGCTGAGTATCAAACCCTCATGATCCAGTTATCTCCAAGGCCTTTGAGCACGTGAGCCTTTGGGGGGACATCGAGATATAAACCTTAACGAAGTGGTATTAACTCTTCAAGCATCAAGAAAAGCCTGTGTAAGGAGACTCACCTCTGTGTCACACAGACTCTTCCCTGCTTTCAGTATTTATAGAGAATGGCTTTATTCTTGAGCAGCCTTTATGCTCTTATGGCCTCTTGGGATGCAAGGCAGAGTAACTAAATCCAGATGGTGGGAGTTATATGAGGCTTGGTCTCCTAAGATTGTGCTACATATTAGGTGGGAAAAGGACATACTCCCTTCTCTTGGTTTGAGAAGATTTTTCACATTTTATTTTTGCTATTGGTATTGCTTTTGTTTTTTTGTTTTTTTTTTTTTTTTTGAGACAATGTAGTTCAGGCTGGCCTCGAACTCACTGTGTTCCCCAGGTTGGCCTGAAACTCATGCTGATCCTCTTGCCTCAGCCTCTTGAGTAGTGGAATCACAGGCATGTACTACCATACCTGGCATTTGGATATTTTAGACTTTGATATTTTCTTACCTGTGACCAGTTTATCTTTCTTCTGACTTTACATTGTCAGAAGCAAATGTCTGGGGAACAGGGCCAGATAGTAGCAGCTCTCTGTCAGTGGAACTTTTGATGTGTGTGCCTCATAGCTTTTTGGCACCCTTTTTCTCCCTTTCTTTTTCTACTTGTTTCATACATTCCTTCCTTAGTTATTTTTGGTTTGTCTTTCCTCTGTGGGGAGGCAGTGCTTGATGGCAGTAGGCAGAAAGCGCGGTAGGAATGACAAGGCATTCTCCAGCCCAAGGCCGAGCTCATCCCCACTGTCTCCTCTTCTGAAATTACGGCCAGTAGGTTCTTTGACCTCATTTACAAGTTTGGCATGAAAGCATACATTCATTCTGGTTTAAAGCCCCAGATTGTTCTTTTTTTAAATTGAGTTTATTGGTACATTTTAGGTATACATATGATCACATTCATCATTGGGAAATTGTACCTGTACATGACAGGTCTTGGTTCATATTTTTTTTCCCATTCCCCTGCCCTCCCTTCAATACCTACATCTATCCCTATTTACATATCCCCAGATGTTTGTAATAGAAAAATCTTTAAAAAGAATTTTTTTATTTTCACTTAAAAGATTATAAATGTTTACCTTAGCTTTATATATACATATAAAACTTGGTATACATCTGTGTGTGTGTGTAATTGTATGTGTGTATAGATATATGTGTGTATAGATATATATATGTATCTATACACACACACACACACACACACACACACACACACACACACACGTGTGTATATGTATGTGTGTGGTAGTGGAGGTTCCAAGACCTTCGCACTGAGCTACATCACGAGCCTTTTTAAATTTTTAAATTTTGGGGCAGAGTCTCACTAAATCACAGAGTTGCCCAGGCTGGGCTCAAACTTGACAATCCTCCTTTCCCAAGCCTCCCAGAGTTCTGGGACCCAGGTGTGCTAAATTTGATATGTTGAAGAGGAAAAAACTACAAAACTTATTTTATGATAATATATTTAAGTTTTGTTTAAAAAATACATTCCTATCTGTATCTACGCATAGAAAAGCCTAGAAAGGTGTTTGTGAGACATTAATTGTATATGCTTGATTATGGGGTTATGAGTCGTTTTTATGTAATTCTTCATGCTTTCAAGATTAATTCAGGTTTTTACAAAGAACACATTTATGACTATCAAAAAGAAATGTTGCTGGCCTTGGTGGTGCACACCTGTAATCCCAGCACTCAGGAGGCTGAAGCAGGAGGATTGCTGTGAGTTCGAGACCAGCCTGGGCTACATAGTGAGTTCCAGGTCAGTCTCAACTACATAGTGAGATCCTGTCTCAAAAAACAAACAAACAAAAAAGAAATATGTTTTTTTGAATGGTAAAAAGGAGGAGAGTTAGTTTTAAGCAGTTATCAGAGCGAAGGACCTTCTACAGTTTAAGCTTTCCAAAGAAAGCTGTGATGTAGTCTAGAACTCTGAATATAGATTTCAGACTATGATTTGGTGATTAACCTTTTACTTTTTATTTCATTTGCTTACTTTAGGCCAGCCTTTATGGATGAATATGAGAAGATCGAGGAGGAATTGCAAAAGCAGTATGACATTTATGTAGAGAAATTTCGAAATTTGGCTTACCTGGAACAACAACTTGAGGACCATCACCGGATGGAGCAAGAGAGGTTTGAAGTAAGTGCTTGTCCTCCTCTTCTTACACACGGTTCCTTCTGACATGTTCCTTTGTACTTGGTGACATGCTTTGTAAACATTGTTGTGTTTGGCCAGAGATGTAGCTCAGTGGTTCCACCGCCGGCCTTGTAAACATCACTGTGGAAAGAAAATCAATCTGAGGATTGCTTGTTTAATTCTGCTATTTTGCTGCCAGCACAGACTGGACTTGTGCACTGCCAAATACCTGATACTGTGTTATTATCAGGATTTGGTCAGTTAGAAGTATATAGGGCGAACATAGGACCTCAGCAGCCATACAACACTCTGTGCTTAAAAGGGCCTATGCTTGCTCTGCTATCACAGAATTAGGAATTATTGAAATTCCTAATAATTTCCAAATGGATTGTATTTTGCACTGATCTCTACAAATTAGGTAGCTGGTCTTGAGTACAGGCCTAAAAATGTGTTGGGTCAGTTCTCTGAATGATTTCCAGGCCTTGGTTAATTCAGTTGTCTGTACTAGATTATTGGAGTCTGCTTTATAAGGAGACAGAAAAGTGAACAAAAATGACAGGATACAAAGATGATTTTTTTGCTTTATTTTTGGTGGGTTTTAAAAAATATTTATTTTTTGGTTTTTTGAAAAAAAAAATACTGTTTCTGAAACAGTGCTTGATTGTAGCCAAAAGGCTGAGAAGTGATAGTGCTTTCTTTTTAAAGAAATGTTTAAAACATCAACAAAAATTTAAAAACCAATATTCCTCCCCTATTCTCCCTCTCCCTCTCTCTCCCTCTCTCTCTCTCCCTCTCCCCAGTCATCAGAGCCCCTTTTTTTTGAGATGGGGTCTCACCTATTGGCCCAGGCTGGCCTGCTGCCTTAGGCTCATGGGTGCTAGAACTGCCAGTGCTTGCTGTCATGCCAGGCTTAATCAGGGCCACAGTTGACAACCTAACTGAAGTATTATCTCTTCCTGGCTCCACCTAGGAAGTAAGACTAGTTTTTCTTTCTCTTCCCATCCTGCCTTAGCATCTTTCTAGACTGGTATGGTAAGAGCAGTGCAGGACAAAAAAAAAAAAAACAAAAACAACTGTAATACTTTCTTCTGTGAGCAAGAGGCCAGTGCCAGTCCATAGACAGATGCATCTACCACTCGCGGGCCTGTGCAGGTGCACGAGATAGACACTCAGTTCTTTCAGAGCCAGTGGTGTGGTGGGAAGAGCGAGGTGTGGGGCCAATACGCCACTTTTAGGGTCCCTTTCACTGTGCTGCTGAGTAAGCACAGAAGGGCTCCAGGTTTGGGGAATGCCTGCAGGAGCTGCCCAGTAAATGTTAGTGTAGGTCTTTTCCTGTTCCGTAGCAGTATGTACACAGTGGTAAAGAGTAATAGCATCATCCGCTAAAAGTCACTCCTTCTGAATCTGGTTTTTCATTTTCCACAGGAAGCTGAAAATACTCTCCGCCTGACGCAAAACAAACTAAAGGAAGAGGAAAAACGGCTGCTTAAGAGTGGAAGTAAGGATGGAGATGTTTATTCTCAACTAGCATTTTCAGCCTTGACAAGTTTATATACTTAAAATTTTTTCTTTTAACATTTTTTTCATTGTGGTAAGAGTACAACATGAGATCTCTCCTCTTATTTTTTTTTATTTTTGGTATCGGGGATCAAACTTGGGTCTTTGCACTTGTGAGGCAGGCGGTGGAACCTCTGAGCCAAATCCCTGGCCTTCTCTCCTCTTTTTTAAAAATTAATTTTATTGCTACACCTTTGAGGTACGTAATGATCACATTCATCATAGTACCTGTACATTTTTTCCCATTTCCCTCCCTTCAGCCCTTCTCCTCTTCCTTTATAAAACTTTGTTTCTATAGTTTTCCTTTCTTTTTTTATCCCTATTCCCTCTTTTCCCTTCCCATTTGAACATTTTCTTCCTACTTCCTAATGTTTGTCATCCATTTTGGTCCTTATTTACCCTTTGGGTTTCTCACAGAAGAGAATATGATATTTAAACGTGTGTCCAATTTATTTCACTTAAAATTAATGTTCTCATGGTGCATCCATCTACCTAAAAACATCTCAGATTTATCATTTATGGCAGTGTAGTACTCCGTTGAACAAAAACTACGTTTTCTTAATCCATTCATCTGTCGATGGGGATCTGGGCTATTTCCAAGATTTTTTGTATGTGAGGTGAGTTTGAGACAGGTTCTCCCTATGCAGTTCATGCTGGCCTTGAATTCACTATGTAGTCCAGGATGGCCTCAAACTTGTAGTGATTCTCCTGCTTCAGCCTCCCAAGTGCTGGGATTACAAGTATGTGCCGCCATACCCAGTTGTTGCCAGGATTTAGCTATTATAAATTGTGCTGCTGTAAACATGGGTGTGCATACTTTGCTGTCGTATGATGCTTTTAACCCTTTCAGGAAATACCTAGAAGGCAAATAGCTCAATCAAATGGAACCTCTAGTTTTTAATTTTTTGAGAAATCTCCATACTGACTTCTATAGTGGTTGTACCAATTTACGCTCCCAACGATGGAAAAGGGTTCCTTTTCCCTCACCATCTCACCAGCATTTGTTATTGGTTGATTTCTTTAGTGTAGCCACTCTTTCTTGACTGAGGGGCAATCTCAGTGTTGCTTTAATTTGCATTTGCCAAATGACCAGTGATGTTGAACATTTTCCATATATTTATTTTGTTTGTACTTCTTCATCTTAGAAGTGTCTACTCATTTCAGATGCCCATTTTTTAATTAGGTCTTTAAATTTAGGGCCTCTGATTTTTTCGAGTTATTTATATAGTCTAGATGTTAGTTCTTTGTCTCAGGAATACCAGGTAAAGTTTTTTCCCATTCTTTGGTTTGTCTCTTCACTTTGTTAGTGCTTTGTTTTGTTGTGCAGAAGCATTTTATTTTATTTTATTTTATTTTTGTACTGGAGATTTAACTCTGGTCCTTGCGCTAACAATGCAGTCAGTAGAACCACTGAGCTAAATTCCCAGCCCATGCAGAAGCTTTTTAATATGGAATGATCCCAGTTGTTGATCCTTGGTGTTATTTCCTGTGTGATCAGGGTTCTGTTTATAAAGTTGTTGCCTACATCAGTGTCTTCAAGAGTTTTATCTATTGTAAATTCCATTAGATTTAGTATTTCTGTTTTAATATTTAGACTTTGATCCATTTTAGTATTACTTTAGTGCATAGTGAAAGATAAGGGTCTAGGTTTAATCTTCGGCATGTGGAAAGCCAGTTTTGCCAGCACCATTTACTGAAGAGGCTTTCTTCCAATGAAAGTGTTTGGTCCCTTGGTCAAAGTAAGGTAGTTGAGTGTGTTTGGAGTTGATTTTGCATCTTCAGTTTTGTTTCATTTTTGTTTTTTACCAGTACTGTGCTGTTTTTATCATAGTAACTTTATAGTTTAACTTCAAATTAGGGATTGTGATGTCCTCTGCCTTGCCTTTGTTGCCCAAAATTGTGTTTGCTATTCTAGATCTCTTCTGGTTCCAAATGAATTTTAAGATTGTTTCCTGTAGTTCTGTGAGGTATGTTATTGGTATTTTTATCAAGATTGCATTAAGCTGGGCTTGGTGGTGTGTGCCTGTCATCCCAGCACTTGGAAGGCTGAGGCAGGAGGATCACTGTGAGTTCTATGTCAGACTAGATTACATAGTGAGACCTTGTCTCCAAAAAACAAATAAGTAAAAAGGATTTCATTAAATCTGTACAACAGGGCCAGGGATTTAGCTCAGTGGTGCCACTCGCTGCCTCGCGAGTACAAGGTCCTGAATTTGATCCCTGGTACCAAAAAAAAAAAAAAAAAAAAAAAAAAAAAAAAAAAAAATGTGTACAACAGTTTTGAAAGTATATTGGTTCTGCCTATGCAAGAACAAGGGATGTCTTTCCATTTTCTGATATCCTCTTTGTTTGAGCTCCTTTTCCAGAGTACTACAGTTTTCTTTCTTTCGTTTTGTTTTGTTTTGTTTTGTTTTGTTTTTGGTACTAGGGATCTAACTCGGGACCTTGCACTTGCAAGGCGGGCGGTGGTGCCACTGAGCTAAATCTTGGCCCCAGAGTACTATAGTTTTCAATGTAAATGTCTTTTACTTCCTTCATTAGATTAATTCCTGAATATTTCTTTTTTTGGGGGGGGATATTATTATTATAGGTGTTGTTTCCCTAATTCTCTCTCAGGGAGTTTGTGTACAGGAATGCTATTGATTTTTGAGTGTTGACTTTTTATCCAGCCATGCTACTGAAGTTGGTTATTAAATCAAGAAGCCTTTTGGTGGAGGTTTTGGGGTCTTACATGTAGAATATCATGTCATCTGCAAATAATGATAATTTAACTTCTTCCTTCCCTGTCCTTATTTCTTTTATTTCTTTCTCTTGTCTAATTGCTATGGCTAATGTTTCAAGAACTGTATTAACCAGAGTTGTGATAGTGGGCATCCACCCTTGTTTTGTTCCTAATTTTAGAATGAAAGCATTCAGCTTTTGACCATTTAATATGATGTTGGCTGTTGGTTTGTCATAGATAGCTTTCATCAGATTGAGTTAGAGAACTTCTAATTTTCTTTAGGGTTTTTATTATGAATGGGTGTTGGATTTTGTATTGATGATCCTCTGGATTTCTGAAGAATCCATTCTGATTTCACCCTTTTCATTCCTAATTGCATGAATTTGAGTCTTTTTTCCCTTTTTCAAAATAAGGTTGGCTAAATATTTGTCAGTTTTATTAATCTTCTGGGGAACCAGCTCTGATTCATTGATTCTTTGTATTGTTTTCTTAGTCTCAGTTGCATTAATTTCCACTCTAATCTTTATAATTTCCTCCTGCATACATGCTTTGGGTTTAGCTTGCTCTTTTTTTTTTTTCCAGAAGCTTGATGTTCAACAGTAGGTTATTTATTTATTTAAGCTTACTCTGATGTGAGGACTCACTACTATAAATTTCCCTCATAAGACAGTTTTCACTGTCTTCTAAGTATGTTGCATTGGGATTATCATTTAGTTGTAGAAACTAATTTCTTCCTTAATTTCATCTATATTGGTTGTTCAGGAGGGTGTTATTGGATATGAGGGCAATCTGGCTATGATATCTGCCACCCCTTTGATTACCAGGGTTGATTTCGGCTGATCTGGCTGGTTAGGCACTTGAACCCTTCCTCCATCACCACTCCATATGCATCTCTCCCAAAGCTGCACACTTGGTCGTAGAGTACAACCATCCCCCATAGAGAAGGATCATTTCCTTTGTAAAGGGTGTACAAATAGCTGAACTCCTCTTCTAGAAACTCCAAACAAGTTCTCAAGAGGGTATTATTTAATTTCTATGTGTTTATGAAGTTTTTGTGGTTTCTTTTGTAATTGATTTCCAGTTTCATTGTACTATGATCTGATAATATCCATGAAATAATTTCAGTTTCTTTGCATTTTACTTAAGCATATTCTAAGAGCTAGTATATGGTCTGTTTTAGAGAATGTCCTTGTGCAGCTGAGAAGAGTGTGTATTCTGTTGTTGTGGGGTGGAGCACTCTGTAGGTATCCATGTATCTATGAAGTCCATTTGTTCAGAGGTTTGGACTAGCTCTGATATTTTTTGTGTAGTTGATCTATTTGTGACAGTTAGGTATTGAGGTCCCCTGTTATAACTGTGTTAATGATTATCTGATTTTTCATATGTGTTAATGTTCATTTTATAGAGTTGGGTCCACTGGTATTTGGTGCATATATATTTATGATTGTTATCTCTTCCTCTTGAATTGTTCCCTTAACAAGTTTGTAATGACATTTTTTGTCTCTTTCCATCAGTTTTGGCTTGAATGTCTCCAAATAGAATAGATACCCCTGCTTTTTTCTGAGTTCCTGTCGCATGGAACATTGTTTTCCATCCTTTAACTTTCAGTTTATGAATTTATTTTTGAGTTAAATGTTTCTTGTATGGAGTCTATTGTTGGACCTTATTTCTTGACCCATTCTGCCAAGCTGTTTCTTTTGATTGCTGAATTGAGACTGTTCGCATTGATGGTTATAACTGATATGTATTGACTTATCTTTGTCATATTATTTTCCTGTTGTTGGTTCTCTTTCTTTTCCTTCTATTTAATTGCTTGCCTTGCCTGGTTGATTCACACTGTTGGTATTTATGGAATTGTTGTCTTTATTGTCTTTTTGGGTTTGGTGGTCATAGATTTCTTCAGATGTTCTTTGTCATGAAAGTTTCTTATTTCTCTATCAATTTTGAAAGATAATTTTGTGAGGTTTACATCAGTCTGGGTTGAAGGAGTTTTTTTTTAAGGCTTGAAATACTTCAAGCTCTCCTTGATGTAAGGGTTTATATTGAGAAGTCTGCTGTGAGTCTGATGGGTCTTCATTTATAGGTGTTTTGTTTCTTTTCTCTGATAGCTGTTAATATTCTGTTCTTATGTTGAATTTCTGTAATTTTGACTATTATATGCCTTGGTGTAGTTTTCTTCTTAAAATGGCTAATTGGAGTTCTATATGCCTCACTTACCT